TAGTTTCTATAAACTATTGTGTGATTATTGTTATGCCTTGATAAAAGTAGTTTTTAGCTACATGCCTGGAGCACCATCAACACATAGATACCCTTGAATTAAACAATAGGAAAGTTTATGCTGTCTGAATATCTAGTTTCAGTTGCAGGAATGTGGTGGGAGAAACCGGATGCTGAAGACAATGATAAAACTTGTATTTCCGGATGTCTTTCTGAGCTCTGCTGACACTGGGACTTGAGCATTAAAGCACCATTTAGAACCAGTACTGGTTTTGTTGTATTGTCTATTCTCTTCACATTTTAATAATTTTAACATTCATGTGGTTTCTGCCTGGTTAAGACACGATTTCAGTAAAAGGACACTATTTTTCTTAGATATACATTGTGATCAGTTGTTATCATTTAACAACAAGACCGTTTAACACGCTTCACCTCAGCAGAACGTTTTATTTCAGAAATGTAGAACTGTTTTAGAGGTATGACATCATATCCGGGTGGGTCTAGGCTCAATATGAAAGCGTTGCTATGACACTGAAGTGGCCCATTTTGTCTACGTGATGAGCCACAGTGCTGTGAAAAACTGTATAATAAATAAATACTAAACATTCAAAACCGATACAGGACTGGTTTCCTGTGCTTTATTTATGTCCTTTGAACACATCCTCTTTCACCTCACTACATAACTTGTGTGATTTTTTTGCGGATCTGTAATATTACCAAGTATATTTTTTAAATCAGAGCTTTAACTTTTTTTGCTACATTCAAAACATAAAAATGATACTTTTACTTCCTATTGGACAAATTGTGATTTTAAACAATATGGTTCATTTAGTTACAAGTTATATATTGCCGCTGATCTGTGTTTGTTTATTAACTTCGACTTTTGCAAGACTTGTAAATGCTTGTGCTCAGGAATGTTGTAAATGTGAAGGCAGTTGTGAATTTTTAGCTTTTTTAAGACTGTTTATTTAAATTGTAGAGTTGAGCTACTTTTAAGACCCACTTTTACACAGGTTATGAAGGTCTTGAGAGAGCTCTTTACTTTTACCCATCATCAGATGGTTCTTGTGTGATACCTGGCCATCATTTGGGACTGAACCAGCTGATATTGACTTGCATCCTGCTTCTGTCTGCCTTGTCATGCTCATTTCCTGCTCCTGTCATCCTTGCCCTGCTCATTGC